AGAAATCACCCCATTCCAGCCAGAATTTTCCTCAGAAATCAGCTCATTCCAGGCAGGATTTTCCTCAGAAATCAGCTCATTCCAGGCAGGATTTTCCTCAGAAATCAGCCCATTCCAGGCAGGATTTTCCTCCAAATCAGCCCATTCCAGGCAGGATTTTCCTCAGAAATCAGCCCATTCTGGGCAGTCTGGGAGGAAAAAGAGCACTGCTGAGTTTAACCACTGGTGTTTCAGAGCATCACTCCTCATTTCCCTGCGTTCTGCCCTCGCTGCCTGGATTATTTTGGCAACTCAGGAAGTCCAACAGGAGTCCCAAATTCCCAAGGAGGGAGGGAAGGGAAAGGGGGGAAAACAAAAATAAAAAAATCACTTTTAAAAACGATTCATAAATCAGATGAATTCATAAACCCTCCCAAACCCCAGGCCATAATCTTAGTTTCAATTGCTAAGAAATTGTCCTGATTATCCCAATTCCTGGCACCTTTGTCCCTGTTAGTCCTGATTATCCCAATTCCTGGCACCTTTGTCCCTGTTAAGGGCTTCTTTTAGAGTTTTCTTGCTCCTTCTGCTCTCTGAAGGAGACTGAGGAAAACACATACTCATTTACCAAAGGTAAAGCTGAGTTCCTACAGGTAAGGCCATCACAGGTGGCTTTTTGAGGGTTTTAAGGTGTGAAAAGACAATTTCTCCAAACACAGCCTGACCATCCCTCTGTAAAACTGGGCAGGAACAGTCACCAAACTGTTTCCTTGTTTATTTTAGCTTCAGTTCTGGTGGAAGTAACAAGCCAGATGAGCTGCAACCACGATCTGCTTTGGGTGCTAATGTTGCTCCCTTCATTCTGTGCTTAAAAAGGAAACACATGAATGAGCTCCACAGCCATTAAAATAATATTTAAAAAAAAAAAAAAGCTCAAATATGTTTATTTTGGCACACAGTTAAAAATATACAAATACATTAAATATCAGGGATCATTAAAGCCAATGTTTTAAAACACATCTGGGTGTGCATTATTATTTTCCAGGGAGATGGGGAACCAAACCACCACGTTATATATTTAATTTGACAGTGCAAACAAACTGTTTGGAGCAGGAATTCACTGGGTTAGGCAGCAACAACAACAGCTGAACAGTTCCTGAAACACAGAAAACTGTACAAATCTCTGCTGGAGTTAAAAGTCCTGGGGTAAGAGAGGTGTTGTCACTGAGAAAAACAGAATGAGAGCTTTAGACACTCGACATGAAACCAAGTTACAACGTGCACTCGAGGAGAAAGAGGGTTCAGACAGTCCAATGACCTGATCCTTCAATAATTTCTGGGTAAAAAGAATATATCAGCAACCAAGCAACACAAGAAAGCACTGCCACGGACAGGTTCACAAGCACAAATTCCCTGCTTCCAAAGGTGCATTTCTTGGCATTATTTGCATAGTTACTCCTTTTCCCAAGCAATTAGGAAAAAATTCAGCAACTAAGTTCAGGGAAAAGCTCTGTGACCTCTAAGACATGATTTCTGCCTGTGGGAAAATCTCAGCAGCACGAAGACAAAAAGACATTGAAATGACAGAGACAAAAGTGCCACCTCCTGAACCTCTGGAACTTGGGAGCATCCCAAATAAAAATGTATAAAGCACCTTTCCCATGGAAAGCTGACGGCTCTCAAAATGCCATTACCTGTCCAGTAGGTCAATAATTTTATTTATCATCATCATCAAAAGACAATGTGAAGTTTCAGGCTTTTTTTTTTGTTTGTTTGGTTTTGGCACAGGAACCTCTTAATGATTATTTTTTTTTAATCCCTGTAGATTTTACAAGGATCTCCTTACCTGTGAGGGGAAGATACAAAAGCACTGAAACTTCCAGAAAATGGGTCTATGCCATAAGATAAATTTATCTGCTCCCACCTCAGTTCTCCTCTTGGAAGAAGGTTTTAAACCCCAGAGAAGAGGGAACGTGGATCACAAGTTCTGGGCTCTCCATATGGGTGACACGTCAGATCAAGGCAATTTTGTTCTCCTTTTCCCAAAAAAAGAGAACCAACTGTTCCAGTTCCCATTCCTGCCAGGGGATGCTGAGGAAGAGCTTCCAAAGGATTTATTTTAGGAGCACAGAGCCAGAATGGAGTGGCAGCTCCACCAAAAGAGGCAACAGCAACACAGGTAGGTGGGGAGGCACAGGCTGCATAGATAGAACTCACAGAAGGTGACAGTGACACTTCCACCACTTCAGCAACCTCTTTTTATCCCCCTCATTTCCCAGTCACCCACTCTCCTGCCCGTCCCAGTATGCCCAGGATGTGTTCACATGGTAACAGTCACCCCTGCCAGGAAAAGAACTTGGGAAGGAGAAGCCAGGCAGGGAAAAAAAGTGATTTTACAGCTCCTTTAATTCCCTGCAGGAGCGACTCCTCAGGCACATGGAGAGGGCAGGAACAAATCCAGAGTGGGAAAGGGGGTGTTTAGGCTGGTGTTGGAACAAGGAAATCCCCACTGAGCTCTGTCCTAAGGTGCTGGCCTGAACATTTCAGGTGTGTTAGTGAAGGGCTCGACCAAAGAAACCCCTTTATTGCATTGGCAGAAGTTCCCCTGACCTCTCCAGCTCATCCCAACCCTCACTGACAACTGTCCTGCAGGAATTTTGGGCTCCCAGGTTGTCCCAGCAGGGACAGACTTTGCAGCCTCTCGTTTACAACCCCCCAGCAAACAGCACTGAGCTGAAATCAGCTGAGAAAACTTCCCCCCAAAATTCCCACCCTTGGGATTGGGCCCATATTGACCATGGCCTTCCAAAGCACCAGGAGCAGCAGGATCAGGAAGGTGGCTCCACAGTCACAGTTAAACTCAGGCTCAGCTGTGGCAGAAGATGCTCCACAGGCACCATTTTTTTTTGCTTCCAAAGGATTCTGCATGTTAATTATTGTTATATTGTTAAAGGAGTGGCACTTAAGTGTTCCCATCTACAAGTGGCTCCCTTCCTCAAATCCACAGCCTTGAGTAATCCCAGGATTTTGGGTTGGCCTGCAGCACTGAGCCAGCCAGCCCTGGGGACACAGGGACACGTCACAACACAGGGAGAAGAACTTGCCAGAACAGAGAGAGTGTTCCAAAGAAAGGCAGAGTCTTTAAAGGTTTCAAACACAGCACCTGCAGGAGAGAAAGGAGCCCACAGAGCTGGAATAGTGCATTGCAAAGGAGTTCCTGGAACTGGGTGTCACCTCCAGCAGCTCATCCCCGGGAGGACGTTTGGCACAAACCCTCGGACACGGGAATTTGGTTTCTGGTCGGGGTCAGCTGCTTGCAACGTTTTCCTGGCACTTCAGTGGGTTCAGAAAAAGGTTCTTTGACACCACAAATGGTTAAGGTCCTCTGTCAGGAGGGAAGGTTAGACATTGCTGACCCTGGTTTCAGAGGAGGAGATGATGGCAGCAGACGTGGAGGTGACCAGGGACCGTTCCCGGCGGACGTATCGCGGCTTCCGAACTGAAAGGCACAGAAACATCGTCAGCACCTGCTCAGGAACGTGCCTTTATCCCTAATTTCCTCATGGAAAGGGTGGTCAGGCACTGGAAGGGGTTGCCCAGGGAGGTTTGGAGTCCCCATCCCTGGAGGTGTCCCAGGAAGGACTGGATGTGGCACTCAGTGCTCCGGGCTGGGGGACAAGGTGGGCATCGGGCACAGGGTGGGCTCTGATCCTGGAGCTCTTTTCCAGCCTCAGTGATCCTGTGAATTCCTAATTCCTCAGTGATCAAAGTAATTCTGGACTTCAAAAAACCCCCAACAAAACCAGACCACAAAAAAACCCCTACACAGAGTTGTCACAGCAAAAGCCCACAAATCAACTTTTTAAATGAGCTCCCAGTGGCCCAGAAAACCAGATGCTCAGGATAAACTGGCACTCCTATTATTTTATTATTCCTATTATTTTAAGTGTTTACAGTACATGGAGCTCTCCATTTTCAGCCCTAAAACTCCCTGACAACTGGACTTCCTCAGATGGATAAATTAAAGGCAAAGAAGCCAAGACTTTCCACGAGCAGCACTGTCAGTTTAACAACCAGCCCGAGCCTGGAACACATCTCAAAACATCTAAAAGTTAAAGAACTACATTAAAAAAAAATTCAATTTTAATCATACCATCTTGATTAGACGAAATCTTCCCTGAGAAATTAATTTCTGCAGGTATTAAACATCACACCTTGCCCAAAAGAGCCCAAAATACCAAAAAAAAACCCAAAATAGAGTGTTCCAAGTAGTCTGTGTAAAGCTGTTTTTCAAGAAGCTGAGAAATTTTCAAACCAGCAAGGCTGAAAATGAGCCAACCTGGCATTGTCAGGAGGAATCTAATCCTGAAAATAAACCCCAGACTGAATAATTTACTTATGAAAAAATACTGCATCTCCTTGTAAGACTCCTCTCTGTGAGGACAGAGGAGTGGAAGATCTATTTTAGGAGCTGTCACAGATCTATTTTCACATCAAGTGCTCCATCACTCCTGGTGCCTGAGTTAATTAAAGCAATCAATCCCATCCAAAAAGGCCTCACTGGACAGATCTCATTGGATTTCTGTCCCCAGCACAGATTCCACCAGTTGTAAAGCAGCTTTATCAATGGTTATTTTGATATATTGTGGGTATTCTCAGCATTCCCACTTGGAGGAGAGAAGTTTCCCTGCTTTTTAGCATCCCAGGCAGCAGTTCCTCACCTGAAGAAGCTGGGGGAGGTATCATGGATGCCTGCAGAGAACAGAATCATCATGTCAAACAAAGCACCTTTTCACAGTCTTTCATTCAAAAAAAAACCCCAAAAAACCCCGACAGCAACATTTCAGGGTTTCAATAATATTTACTGGGTAGGGTTTTTCTTGGGGAAAAAAAAATCACTCAGTAGAAGCCAGAAATCCAGATGGTTTGTATTCATTTTCACCTCAGTTTGGACAAATAACCCCCAAAACATCTTTTCTATTTATTTCAGTCTCGCCCATCAGATTAAGGAGCTCGTTAACGAGCTGTTAAAATTTAAATTATTGTGTGGTTGATGCTTTATTTGCTTGTTCCTGTTGGAAGAAGAGAATTTACTTACTGTTTCACTAGGCTGGAGAACAGATGCTAAAAGAGAGAGAAAGAGAGAGATTAACCCTCATTAATCTAAAAGACTGGAACTGTTGTTTTTCCAAAAATACACTCATGCATGGAATAGTTTTATGGCTAAAAAAAACAACAGAGTTTTGTCACAAAGCAGAGCAGGACAGTCAGAAAATCCATTAGGGGAACACATTGGGTGTAGGACTCTCTTCAAGATTTGAGATAAAGGGTTGTAAAGTCTTCAAGAGGGACTTATTTTGCTTTCAGAGGAAGAAACCTCAGCAGCTTCTTTGACAGGGAAAAAATGTCACTTGGAGCCAGGAAAAAATAAAAGGACAAATAAAAATGTGAACCCCTTTAGCCAGAGGGGTGATAATCATCCTCCAGACAGAAGGGAAGCTGAGAATCAGCCAGGGGAATGTTTGTTAAGGTTTTCCCCCCCTCAAAGAAGGACATTAAGGCTTTATCCTGCTGGATCAGGGGGAATTATCAGCCCAAAAGAGGGAAGTCAGACCACAGGCACTGCAGCATCAGAGGTCTGGTGTCCTGCCAGCTTAGAAATGTCATAAACCAGCTCCTGAGCCCCTAAAAACTGAAGGAGAACCTGGTGCTGACTAAATTTCCTTGAAAAAGCAACTCAAGAGATCTCAATCCTTCAAGGATATTCTGGGTTCTTGATCAGTTCAGACTCAGAGAGCCACTGGAGTGAAATTTGATATCAAATGATAGCACATTCAATCAAGCAAAGTTCATTTAGGGATTTAATAGACAATGGACAATCTTACCTTTGTTCCTTCTGTAGAAAATGTTGGGAAGTTTATTGGCACGTTTGAGGTAGAAGAAAGAAGCAACAGAGAGAATCAGGAACAAACTGATGAAAAATGTCCCTAAGATGAGGGAAGCTGCCACTTCTGGGCCCCCTGTGCAAAAAAACCCCACATTATAAAGAGAGAGAAAACACTGTTATTCATCAGAAATAAAAGCTAATAATGAAATAAAACCTATTTTTACAACTTGTTGGTAGACAGGGAATAATCACAAAATCATTTACTCACCTATGCTCTGTAGGAAAGGAGTTACAGTGCTTATGTTCATTTGGAAATTCATCCCTCTGCTCCCAGCTGCAATTAAAAAAGAATGTTTTTAAAGGCAAACACAAAAACTACAGATGTGTTGAAAACCTTAGCAAAAGACTATTAACTGCTCAGGAATTATTTGAGGTTATATATGTATAATATTGGAAATACAATTTGAGGTTGTACAGGAATCCTGATTGAATTTCACTTTATGTATATCACTTCTGAATTCTTTTTTGGGAAAAAAAGTAAACAAACATCATCAAAATTTGTCAAATAATAAAAAAGAAAAGAATTCACTGCTGCATTTCCCAAGAACTCAAACCAAGTTTCTGAGCTCCTTTCATTAAACTTATTGACAAGGAATTGGATGGTTCTCACCTCTCCAACAAAGCTCAGACACAAAATGAAATCCAGGCTCCTTAATATAGATTTTTTTTTTCAAAGAACTCAAGCACAGTCTGAGTTGTTTTGTGCTCTGGAGAGAAATGCTGGCAAACACCCCCAGCAAATGCCTTTTTCTTGTAGTGTAGATGAAAGTTGCCCCCAAATTCAACATTCACTGGGTGTCTGCCACTGATCCTGCTTAGAGAGTTTAATCATTTCACTGTTCAGGACTGTTTCATTTCATCATTTTTATTTCATGCCACATTTGCTTTTGCACAGCAAGATTTGGAAGGTTTTTTTGCCCCCCTCATAGAACGATTCCACATCACTCTGCAGCTTCTTTACGCTGAATTTCCAAGTTCCTACAGGTTTTGTGGCGTGTTCAAAAGCTCAAAGTCACTTTGGGAAAGTTGGATAAAGGGAGGGGAATAAAAATCTGCAGGATTTGACTCTTGGAGAGTCTTTGCTGGGCCAAAGAAGAGATGTCAGGGCTAAAAAAAACCAGAATGAAGGGCTGATAAATGACTCACTAGTTCTGCACTCGGTCAGGTTGTAAACAGAGAAAACAGGCAGGGTTTCATTTTTGCATTTAATGCAGCTGCTGCTTCCATCCTCATTCCATCTCCTGTAACAACCTGCAGGGGAACAACAGGTACAGAGGCATGAAAACCACAAAAGCAACACTGGAGGCAAATTTTTTTCCCACTTTTTGGGTATTTCTTCCACCAAAGAGGCAGAAATTCCCTCTTCTCTGCTGGTTACAGGCACGTCCTGCTTCCTAATCTGTCACAATTATTTGCATTATTCATTTAATTTCATTTCTGTTGGATTGTTTTCATTTCAAAGCCTTTATTCCAGAAAAAAAGGGGGGGGAAAAGGAGGGAGAGTTACAAGCAAACAGCTTCCAAAAGGTAATTCCAACCCCACTCCATTCCCTGCTTCCCATGGTGGAGTTTGCAGCAAGATGGGAAATGCCTAAAAAATTATAAGTAACACTTAAGAATACTAAAAAAAAAAAGAGTCATTTTACTTTTTAGAGGTCACAGAAACAAAATTTAATGATATTTTTAATATATATAATATTGGAAATACAATAGGCAGGGACAACATGCCAAGAACCAGAAAGGGTGGGGAAAATGCTGGAAGTTAAAATCCAAATCCTGCCCTAATAAAGTTTTTTTTAATTCCTGTTGCTGGTTAAAAATCCAGTTCTGGAAGAGCCTTGAGCCAAAAATTGGTATCAATTATCCCCATAAGGCAAAACCATTGGTAAGGTGCTGATTCCAAACCATTTTCCTTCGAGGTTTGATGCCCCAAAAATCATAAATTACAGCTGATATTTCATCTGAACACAAGGGAAAGGCAAAGACTTTCTGGAGTAAAAACTTTGATGTGACACCAAAGGTATTGGGAGATTCTCAGATTACAGGAAGATTTAAGAGAATGCCACAATTTGGAGGCAATTGTTTATACCATAGCTAATGACACCTGTTTCTAAGATCATTTAGAAGCAGAAATTAATGTATTAAATGAAGCAACTGTTAGAGGAGTTAATGAAGTTTGGCTTAAAACACCCAAAGAACCATCACAGGGTGGATCCCAATTTTAAAGTCACTAATTCTCTTGTCCCTGTGGGCTCTGGAGCCATTTTTCCTGCTTTTACTCCCAGATTTGAAATAAAATGGCATTAAAAAAGGACCACCTTTCACTGACAAAAGAAGATTTTAACTCCATTTAGGAGAAAACAACTTCAGGCACAGGGCAGGAGGAAGAATGAGGCTTTTTGTGTCAACAAAACCATTGAAATGGTTCTTAAGGCTGCCTTAAATACACATTACAGCATTTTTGGCTTTTTATGCTGATTATATGGGCTTTTAGGGCTTTCAAGCATTTCCAGCAGCTCTTACATAATCCAAGTGCACATTAAATAAATAAAAAGAAATAAAGAATAACCTCATCAATAATATTTCATTCCCTTTTAGCCATGAAAGGACAATATTTGTGAGTCATGAGCAGCATTAGCTCGTGTGTGTTAGAGGAAGAAAGACTTTGATGTGTGCATGCATTCATTATTTTGTTTTTACTCCCCAATTAATCAGGTACTTTGGTGTTCCTTTAAAAAAAAAATTTAAAAAACTGGGAATATTTTATCCCTGGAAGTGCCCAAGGCCAAGTTGGAACAACCTGGGGTGGTGGAAGGTGTCCCTGCTTGTGGGACTGGATGAGTTTTAAGGTCTTTTCCCACTCAAACCAGGGGATTAATAAAATAATAAAAAAAATAAAATAATAAAATCATGATTCCATGATTTTATTAAGCAACAACAACTTATACCTGGACTGCACTGGTTGGTTGCTGGACAGGAGCTGTTGGAATCCAACACATCCACACAACATTCTGGTTCTGACACCTGAGAAAAGAAATCACAGGGTGTTTCCCACCTTTATTAAAAGGCTTCATCAACAATAATGAATTCATTATCTCCAGGGGACAGAGAGGAACAAGCAGCAACTCAGTTAAAATTTAAGTTTTTCTTTCTGCAGGAAGCAGTTTTTCAAGGAGAGAACCCACTGGAAGCTGCTCCTTAATAACACTGAAATAAAGCACACTGTGCTTGTGACGTTGGGAAAAGCCTCCAAAAACTGCTTTAGAAATATAATTGATAAAATCATCAGTGAAGGAGAGTTCAGAGGGGGAGTTCTGCTTCCCACAGCTCCACAAACAGGGAAAAACTGTTGGCAAAATGACTGGCAAAGCCCAGTTTTCACTGAATATTCCAAGTGGTGACAACACCTCAGAGCAACCCAGCACAACTGCAGGAGCTTCTTCCTTCAATATTTAATATAAAAGAAAAACTGCACGTACCCTGCAGGCATGGAGCTTATTTTTATTTGTTTATATAAAAGCCAGCTTCCAAGTTATTTACAAATTACAGCAAGCTGGGACACAAAGCTCAGAGAGAAATGGTTGGTAGGAACACTGTGGTTCTTTTGATAGATATTAATAACATCTCCCAGAGCCTTGGGTTTAGCCACACTCTGAACCTGCACGAAAAGCCACTAAACTTCCAAATCAGTCTTAAAAAAGTCAAAAGTAACGAGAGCTGCCCTAACTTCAGCCACAGAAGTGACTTAAATATAACTAATATACAACAGCAAATATTATTGTGCTTATCAGCCAACACCATCAAGTGGGAAGGTGACAGAGATCAAAGTTCTCAGATCAAACAGTTAAAAATTAAATTAGCAGGGTGATTCCACACTGGAAAAAAGCAGAAGATTTATAGATAAAATGCCCAAGACCAGTTTCTTCAAAAGGTTTGTTGGTTGAACCCTCCTTCCAGCAGAATTTTATGCTTCTGTGACTTGAAGCTTCAGAGCTCCTCAGTCGTTTGCAAAGATAACTTTTGGGTACCCGTGGTTTGGTTTATTATTTATTTGCAGTCAAACTGTCAAGCAGCTTAAAAAGTGGGGTTTTTTGATCATCAGGGTGTTTTTTGGGAGGTTTTAGCAGTTGCATCCCTACATGCACATGAGTCAGGGAGAATTCCCTGCTTTAAAAGGCAACCAGAGCAAACCGAGCCACTGGAAAAGTGTCACTTAATGCTCATTTTAGAGCAGTACAGGTAATTTCTGCTGAATTAAACAGCTTCCTAGAAACTGCAGCAGGAGAGGAAAATAATCCTTCTGGTTTTAGAGCACCTGGGAAGACAAAACCCACCAAGCACCTACCGAGTTTTGGGTGGATTTGCTGGCAACTTCTGCCACCAGCCGTGTTAGGAGAAGGACATATGGCACCTCCATGCCCAGGAAAGACACAGGTCTAAATAAAACCAGGGAAAAATGATTTATTAAAGACACAAAAGTTATGCTTTGCCCTTGTTAAGGAACTTTTGCCCATGCACATCCCTTTTATTGGAGGCAAATTTAAATTAAACACAAGGTTGGGAGGGGAGGAAGAAGGACTTACCTGGGTTTGGGATTTGCTTTTGAGACATTCAGAATTTCCCCTCCAGCTGCAGAAGGGCAGGTTTCTGGCTGTGGCAGAGCTGGGGTTGCTAAGAAACAAGGAGCCTTATCAGCCTGTTCCAAACTGGGCCATGCAGAGACGATTCCACACCCAGGATCTGAAAAAAAAAAAAAGAAAAATAAAAAATCGATGGGATTGCAAGGAACAGTTCCTGCCTGGCACCACCAGTGATAACCCCCAGTCAGGGGCTCCACGTGGACTGGGATGGACTGGGAGCAGCACAGGGCACCCAGGAGAGGCAGCACTGCACTTCATTTCTCTCCCCTGGCAACATTAATGAGCTCTGAAGCGTTAATGAAGTTAATAAATTGCATTTCTGAGCTGCCTGAGAAACGACCTTCTGGAGTTTAAACAGAATATTTTGGTCAGTCTGCACCAAGCTTTGGGTTTTTTCCTCCTCAAACTGCCACGTGGCTCCACCCAGGTCCGTGTTTCTGGCATTAAATGTTTGGTTACAATAAATAAACGTGTAAACAAAGAAATGTAAAGTACAAATAAATCAATAAAGGACTGTTGGGTTGAAAATCAAAGGTGCCACATCACGTTTGATCTGCAGGGTGAGCCCCACCCTGTGTCAATATAAAAATCTGCCTGTCCTCTGCTCCATACAATGCTGGGCTCAGAAACCTGGATTTAGGAAAAAGTCTTTCTTATTTAAGATAAAAACCAGCAGCCTGGATTTAGGAAAAAGAGTCTTTCTTATTTGAGATAAAAGCCAGCAGCCTGGATTTAGGAAAAATCATCTTCATCCTTAGAAATCAAACCTGGGGACAGAGAAGAGCCTCAAACCAGAGCAAAGTGAGAATAAAAAAAAAGCCTCCAACTGTCAGGGAAAACTCCTTTAGTGACTCGTTTCACCAGCTGAAATTTGTTACTATTTTTGTTCAATACAAACCCACTGGTTGTGTTTGAAATTCCTGTATCATGACCCTTGGCAAGTTGGGTTTTTTTTTTCTGAAGAACAAAAATCACTCAGCAGTTCCTATGATTAATTTCCAGATGGTTTTTTGTTGGTTTTTTTTTTTTCCCTTAAATCACTTACAAAGAGCTTCAAACTTCAAAATAAGATTAGTTCAGCTTGTTGGGAAAATTTATTATTATCCCCTGGTATCAGTGAAAGCTCCAAGATCAAGGGCTGAAAATCCTGAAAACCACATTCCAGCCTTGCTGCTCCAACTAATTCCTAAATTTGGGCAGAGCAGGAAAACCTTGCACTGTCCTGAGCCTTCCAGTTGAAGCAAAATAATGTTAATTATGTTCTGGTCGTTATTATTTAATAGTAAGGGTTTGTCTTCTCATCAGGTTTCTACAATTTCCCTTCAGAAATGAGCTCCTGGCCAAGAATTCCTCCTGGGAAAAACCAGCTGGAAGTTGGGAAAGGTATTTGCTGATCAATGTTTTCATTGATTTGGGTGCTTTGCAGAGATTTTTGCCAACCCCTGATTATTATAACAGCTGCAAACACTAAGTTTATTTAAACAATAAAGCCCTTCTTACCTAGAAAGAGAATTTCCATGACCAAGGGGAATGGTAAATGATAAAAGATTTGTGAAAAGAGCCACTTTGAAGTGCCAAATCCTGCTTTTTGGG